GGGGTTCAGAGACAATGAGACAATGAAAAACGGGGGTCCCGGAACAATGAGACAATGAAAATGGGGGGGCCCAGAACATAGACACACAGACACTGGGGGTCCCAGAACAATGAAACAATGACACTGGGAGTCCCTAAAACAATGAGATGACACTAGTGGTCCCTAAACAATGAGATGACAAAGGGGGGCCCAGAACAATGAGACGACAATGGGGGGGGCAAGAACAATGACATCAACACTGGGGGTTCCAGAACAATGAGACAAGGGCACTAGGGGTCCCGAAACAATGAGACAATGAAAATGGGGGTCCAAGAACAATGAGACAATGAAAATGGGGGCCAAGAACAATAAGACAATAACACTGTGGGTCCCAGAATAATAATGCACCAACATTAGGGGACCCAGAAAAAATGACACACTGACACTGTGGGTCCCAGAATAATAATGGGGACCCAGAAAAATTACACACTGACACTGGGGGTCCCAGAACAATGACACACTGACACTGGGAGTCCCTAAAACAATGAGAGATGACACTAGTGGTCCCTAAACAATGAGACGACAATGTGGGGCCCAGAACAATGAGATGACAATGGGGGGTCCCAGAACAATGACATCAACACTGGGGGTTCCAGAACAATGAGACAAGGGCACTAGGGGTCCTGAAAAAATGAAAATGGAGGTCCTGGAACAATGAGACAGCGAGACTAGGGGTCCCAAAACTATGGAGACAGTGAAAATGGGGGGCCCGGAACAATGGGACGACACTGTGGGTCCCAGAACAATGATGCACCAGCATTGGAGGACCCGGAACAATGACACACCAACACTGGGGGTTCCATAACAATGAGACAAGGGCACTAGGGGTCCCGAAAAAAAATTAGACAATGAAAATGGGGGTCCTGGAACAAAGAGAGACAGCGACACTAGGGGTCCCTGAAACTATGAGACAATGAAAATGGGGGTCCCGGAACAATAAGACAGCGACACTAGGGGTCCTGAAACTATGAGACAACTAAAATGGGGGTCCCAGAACAATGAGACAGCGACACTAGGGGTCCCGAGACTATTACACAATAAAAAATGGGGGGCTCGGAACAATGGGACATCGACACTGTGGGTCCCAGAACAATGATGCACCAACAGTGGGGGGGCCCAAAAACAGTGACACCAACACTGGGGGTCCCAGAACAATGACACACTGACGCTGGTGGTCCCAGAACAATGACACACCAACACTGGGGGCTCCAGAACAGTGACACACCGACACTGGGGGTCCCAGAACAATGATGCACCGACACTGGGGGGCCCGAAACAATGACACCAACACTGGGGGTCCCAGAACAATGACACACCGACACTGGGGGCCCCAAAACAATGATACACCAACACTAGGGGTCCCAGAACAATAACACACCAACACTGGGGGTCCCAGAAGAATGACACACTGACACTGGGGGCCCCAGAAACAATGAAACACCGACACTGGGGGCCCCAGAACAATGAAACACCAACACTGGGGGTCCCAGAACAATGATGCACCGACACTGGGGGGCCCGAAACAATGACACCAACACTGGGGGTCCCAGAACATTGACACACTGACACTGGAGGTCCCAGAGTAATGACACACTGACACTGGGGGCCCCAGAACAGAACAATGACACACCGACACTGGGGGCCCCAGAACAATGACAAACACCGACATTGGGGGTCCCAGAACAATGACACTCTGACACTGGGGGCCCCCAGAACAATGACACACCGACACTGGGGGCCCCAAAACAATGATACACCAACACTAGGGGTCCCAGAACAATAACACACACACCAACACTGGGGGTCCCAGAACAATGACACACTGACACTGGGGGCCCCAGAACAATGAAACACCAACACTGGGGGTCCCAGAACAATGATGCACCGACACTGGGGGGCCCGAAACAATGACACCAACACTGGGGTCCCAGAACATTGACACACTGACACTGGGGGCCCCAGAACAATGACACACCGGCACTGGGGGAACAATGACCCCAGAACAATGGGGGACAGAAACACCGACATTGGGGGTCCCAGAACAATGACACTCCGACACTGGGGGCCCCAGAACAATGATGACACACCGACACTGGGGGCCCCAAAACAATGATACACCAACACTAGGGGTCCCAGAACAATACACACACCAACACTGGGGGTCCCAGAACAATGACACACTGACACTGGGGGCCCCAGAACAATGAAACACCAACACTGGGGGTCCCAGAACAATGATGCACCGACACTGGGGGGCCCGAAACAATGACACCAACACTGGGGGGTCCCAGAACATTGACACACTGACACTGGAGGTCCCAGAATAATGACACACTGACACTGGGGGCCCCAGAACAATGACACACCGACACACTGGGGGCCCCAGAACAATGACCACACCCAGAAACACCGACATTGGGGGTCCCAGAACAATGACACTCCGACACTGGGGGCCCCAGAACAATGACACACCAACACTGGGGGCCCCAGAACAATGACACACCGACATTGGGGGTCCCAGAACAATGACACACCGACACTGGGGGTCCCAGAACAATGACACACACCGACACTGGGGGGTTCCAGAAACAACGAAACAACAGCACTAGGTGTCCCAAAAAAATGAGATGGCAATGGGGGCCCAGAACAATGACACCAACACTGGGGGGGTCCCAGAACAATGACGCAATGCCACTAGAGGTCCAGAACAATGAACACACTGAAACTGAGGGTCCCAGAACAATGACACATCAACACTGGGGGTCCCAGAACAATGACACATCAACACTGGGGGTCCCAGAATAATGAGACAAGAGCACTAGGGGTCCCAGAACAATGACACACTGACAATGGGAGGTGCACAAAGAACAGTAATATAAGCCCTGCCCAGGGTTTCTCTTTGGACTACAGCCCCCCCCCCCGCCCTATATTAAGGAGATAAGGGAAAGGGAAAGTGGTTCTGTAGTCCTAATCAGGAGTGAGCAGCCAAGAGTGACAACTTTACACTTTTATAGCTACAGTACAGTGAACGTTGTCACCCTCAGACAGGAAGTCTGTTAAAGGCAGGACCACCAGATGGAACTAAAAGGCGAGAAGAAGAAATAAAACGAATGCAGGCACCAGATCTAAGGACGAGTAATCGGCAATGCAGTGGATGACATGATTGTTCTTGAGGTCAGAGACACTTTATGTTACTTTGTTCCGCTCTCTCCCCCAAAGTTGGTCTGGGCCGGACCTGATGGTGAGCAGAGGACCCTCCAGAGATTGTCCCCAAAATCCTCACTGAAGGTGGAAAGAAGTACCCAAAATATTCAATGTTTGCTGTATACTCTTCCAGCGAGAAGGCTGCCAGGAAAATAGCATTTTTTAAACCTGACACAGATATACGAGTCCATGGCAGACTCTTAGGATCAATAAAAAACATGATCTGACCTAATGGCCAGGCAGCAGGTGACAACCGTCAATTCCCCATTATGGATACGGTGTATAACGGCGCCCCCTGCTGAAACCAAGCACATGCACCACACCACGGCTATCTTCCTCTGTATCAGATTACCCATCATGGGTTTACACACAATCCCCGGAACTCCAATCACTGAGGAACTCCAACCACTGAGGAACTCCAACCACTGAGGAACTCCAACCACTGAGGAACTCCAATCACTGAGCGTACATTAAGGGAACTCCAACCACTGAGGAACTCCAATCACTGAGCGTACATTAAGGGACCTCCAACTACTGAGGAACTCCAACCACTGAGGAACTCCAACCACTGAGGAACTCCAACCACTGAGGAACTCCAACCACTGAGGAACTCCAATCACTGAGCGTACATTAAGAGAACTCCAACCACTGAGGAACTCCAACCACTGAGGAACTCCAATCACTGAGCGTACATTAAGGGAACTCCAACCACTGAGGAACTCTCCAATCACTGAGCGTACATTAAGGGAACTCAAACCACTGAGGAACTCCAATCACTGAGCGTACATTAAGGGAACTCCAACCACTGAGGAACTCCAATCACTGAGCGTACATTAAGGGAACTCAAACCACTGAGGAACTCCAATCACTGAGCGTACATTAAGGGAACTCCAACCACTGAGGAACTCCAATCACTGAGCGTACATTAAGGGAACTCAAACCACTGAGGAACTCCAATCACTGAGCGTACATTAAGGGAACTCCAACCACTGAGGAACTCCATTCACTGAGCGTACATTAAGGGAACTCCAACCACTGAGGAACTCCAATCACTGAGCGTACATTAAGGGAACTCCAACTACTGAGGAACTCCAACCACTGAGGAACTCTAACCACTGAGGAACTCCAACCACTGAGGAACTCCAACCATTGAGGAACTCCAACCATTGAGGAACTCCAACCACTGAGGAACTCCAATCACTGAGCGTACATTAAGGGAACTACCAAAAAAAAAAAAAACGGGCCCAAAATCGCCCCAATCACTGAGCGTACATTAAGGGAACTCCAATCACTGAGTGTACATTAAGGGAACTCCAATCATTGAGCGTACATTAAGGGGCCTATTTGTAAAGATCAGTGAAAATGCAGCTTCTCGCCCCATTCCACCGGATCACCTTTTCCCTCCCATTAATAAGGGTTGACAAGGTTGCTGAAAAGGAATATAGGACTTCCCGGGGAGCAGGTCAACCTACTTCATATAGATACAGAGGACCTCAAATGTGGTCACATAGAGGGTTCACTGAATGTAATGCTACAGAAAGCTGTCAGAGACTGCAGACTTAATACAGAAGACGGTCAGAGACTGCAGACATATTACAGGAGAGGGTCAGAGAATGCAGAAATACTACAGAAGACAGTCAGATACTGCAGACATGATATAGGAGATGGTCAGAGACTGCAGACATATTACAGGAGATGATCAGAGATTGCAGATATACTACAGGAGGTGGTCAGAGACTGCAGACATATTACAGGAGATGGTCAGAGACTGCAGACATATTACAGGAGATGGTCAGAGACTGCAGACATACTACAGGAGATGGTCAGAGACTGCAGACATATTACAGGAGATGGTCAGAGACTGCAGACATACTACAGGAGATGGTCAGAGACTGCAGACATACTACAGGAGAGGGTCAGAGAATGCAGAAATACTACAGAAGACAGTCAGATTCTGCAGACATGATATAGGAGATAGTCAGAGACTGCAGACATATTACAGGAGATGATCATAGATTGCAGACATACTACAGGAGATGGTCAGAGACTGAAGACATATTACAGGAGATGGTCAGAGACTGCAGATAAACTACAGGAGATGGTCAGAGACTGCAGACATACTACAGGAGATGGTCAGAGACTGCAGACATATTACAGGAGAGGGTCAGAGAATGCAGAAATACTACAGAAGACAGTCAGATTCTGCAGAAATGATATAGGAGATAGTCAGAGACTGCAGACATATTACAGGAGATGATCATAGATTGCAGACATACTACAGGAGATGGTCAGAGACTGAAGACATATTACAGGAGATGGTCAGAGACTGCAGATATACTACAGGAGATGATCAGAGATTGCAGACATACTACAGGAGGTGGTCAGAGACTGCAGACATACTACAGGAGGTGGTCAGAGACTGCAGACATACTACAGGAGATGGTCAGAGACTGCAGACATACTACAGGAGATGGTCAGAGACTGCAGACATACTACAGGAGATGGTCAGAGACTGCAGACATACTACAGGAGATCGTCAGAGAAATTGATCAAAACAATGTTTTTCCTTCACTGCCCTAGAAAAAACCCTTCACTAGAAACACATAGGGGAACTCAGGAGAGAAGAGGTAGGTCAAAACCAGGTAGGAGAAGGTCAGGGAATTTTTTTCTCAGAGAATAAGTGCAGGTACTCCCCCCTTTCTGAGTCACCACTTGTATTGTCCCCTCTATCCACCTCCAAGCACTGTCCCTTGATTCCATCCCCTACCCATCTTGTGGTGCTAAGTATGTGGAATGTGTTAAGAAAAGCAGTCATATAGATCCAAAAAGTGCCCAATGACTAAGTATGCGTTTAAAACGAAAAACTCTGAAAGATGCGTAGCAAGTTCAAATAAATATTATCAAAGTTCAAATAAACATCAAAGGTTATCGCCAGGTGACTCTGTTATTCCCAGTTAAATGTGATATAATGCTCTGGAAGTGTGCACGAAATAGGTAAAATGCGCACTCACCAGATGCGCGGATATATAGCGCGTTGTATACAATAAATGGTGGTCTGTCCGGGATCCCTTCTAGGGTGGTACTGCATACAGCCTGGTGTTAGATGGCCCTCCTCTAAGTTACAGGATGATGATAAGCCGGAGGTTCCCTTTAGGAGACGAATAGATCAAACTCTTCCAGGCACTGGGATGGTCACCAAGGAGATTCTGGGGGATTAAAGTGCCATGGCACACCCCTTTTGAGAACGTACCATAATATGAAACGCGTCAAGGAGGAGCCTGTATGATCTATATGACTTTTAAGTCATATAGATTGCCTGCAACCAGCAACAATATATCCTCCCCAACAAGATAGACCCCTTCGGCAACAATAGATCTCCCAGGACCCAACAACAGTAGACACCTCCCCTCAACAGTAGAGCCCTCCCAGCAACAACTGACCCCCCACCAACAACAATAGACCTCCTATCAACAATAGATCCACCCACCAACAATAAACCCCCAACAATAGAGCAAGCATCAGTAGGTCCCTCTCTTGGAGGAACCTTCCCAGAAAAATAAGACCCCCAGCAACAATAGATCCAGCCACCAACAATAAACCCCAACAATAGAACAAGCATCAGTAGATCCCTCTCTCAGAGGATCCTTCCCAGCAAAAATAGATTCCTGCCACCAATGATAGACCTCCCCCCTGCACCAATAGATTCCCCAAAGTGACAATAGATCCCCCAGCGGCCCATTTCAACAGGCTTCTAGCAACCCTTGCCATTAAATGTTGGAGGTGCCAGAACTGCTTCTCTGCATTCTCCCTGAAAAAAAGTCTTGGAGAAGGGCGAAGCAAAAAGGGTCATAGAGTAAAAATAAATAGATTGGGGTGAGGGGTAAAGGAAAAGCATGAACAGAGCAGGAAAGAGACAGAAACGAAAAAGGATGCGAAGGGGAGGTTGGTTAGATCTTTTGAAAATTGTACCAAAACTGTCAATTAATTGCCTGGTTTCGACTTCCCAATCCACCAAACTGAAACTCGTGGGTGGCAGATTCTGGCGATTACTTGTGATCGCATTTTCGAATTCAAAATAGATGAAAGTGCTGGAAATTAATTGAAAATCAAGGTCGGCTTTAAAGACAGTTCATGTAAAGAAGGGAAGAACGTGGTCACGTGACACAAAGCAGAGAAAATCAGCAAATGGGAAAATACGTAATTCACTGAAAAGAAGAAACAATACAGCACTTTTATCCATTTTGAATTCGAAAATGCGATTATTATTATTATTATTATACAGTATTTATAAAGCGCCAATAGTTCGCTCAGCGCTGTACATTACAAAGGGGGACAGAACATGTGACAGAACAATAACAATACAATGCAAAACATGAGGGGTTCGAGGGCCCTGCTCCTTGGAGCTTACAATCTAGGAGGGAGGGGATGGTGGCACAGGAGGAGATAGCTGTGGGGGATGGAGTGGTAGGAAGAGTGGAGGAGGTCGGCAAGTTAGCAGGGGGTGGGGTAGGCTTCCCTGAAGAGGTGGGTTTTCAGGGTGCGCCTAAAGGAGAGGAGAGTAGGTGATAATCTGATGGGTTGGGGCAGGGAGTTCCAGAGGATGGGTGACACCCTGGAGAAGTCCTGGAGGCGGGCATGGAGACCAGGGAACTAGAGAGAAGGAGGTCTTGTGAGGAGCGGAGTGTGCGTGCTGGGCGGTACTTGGATAATAGGTCAGTGATGTAGTTCGGGGCAGTATGGTGGACGGCTTTGTACGTCAGTGTTAGGATTTTGAATTTGATCCGTTGCGCAATCGGAAGCCAGTGGAGGGATTGGCAGAGGGGGGTGGCGGAGATGGAGCGGTTGGTAAGGTGAATGAGTCTGGCAGCCGTATTCAGGATTGACTGAAGCGGGGATAGCCAGCGGCGAGGCAGGCCAGTGAGGAGGGAGTTGCAGTAGTCGAGTCGTGATATGATGAGGGAGTGGATGAGCTGTTTAGTGGTTTCTGGAGTTAGGAACGTGCGGATTTTGACGATGTTGCGGAGGTGGAGTCTGCACGAGCTTGTTAAAGATTGGACTTGGGGCTGGAAGGATAGGTTGGAGTCCAGAATGACATCAAGCACTCTGGCCTGCGGGGCGGGTTTGATAGTGGCGTTGTTGGACATGATAGACGGAAGTCAATGGGGGGGTGGTGTCCGGGCTGGGGGGAAGACAAGAAACTCGGTTTTGGAGAGGTTCAGTTTAAGGAAGTGGAGCGACATCCAGTCAGATATGTCGCTCAGTAGGTGTGTGATTCAGGCAGAGACTGAGGGGGTGAGGTGGGGGGTTGAGAGATAGATTAGTGTGTCGTCGGCACAAGTAAATCACAAGTAATCACCAGAATCTGCGCCCACGAGTTTCAGTTTGGTGGATTGGGAAGTCGAAACTGGGCAATTAATTGACAGTTTCGGTACAATTCTTAAAAGATCTAATCAACCTCCCCTTCCCATCCTTATTCTGTCTCCTTCCCACTCTGTTCATGCTTTCCCTACACCCCTCACCCCCATCTATTTTTTTTAAAATGAACAGTTACAGGGAGAACAGGAATCCGTCACTGACAGCAGAACAAGTGAAAAGGTAACCCGTAATATTGGTGAGATTTATACGACCCATCGGCGTACTCAAAGGCCAAGTGACCATGAAATGATGACTACGCCATGGGGTTAACCAGTATAACAAGTTGTATTTGCAGACCGCATCTCTCACACTTCATTGTACTGAAATCATTTTTCAGAGACTGCAACTTGACCCGCGCTAGGATTACAGTCATGTCAAGTTCCCAATGAGTAAGCGGAAAGAAAAATAAAGTTGTGTTTGAGATAAGTGGATTAGATGTAAGCAGGACTCTTCGCCCAAATAGACAGTTACTAAGCACCATCCCAGTACGGCTCCCTCTCATTCCTCTTATGGGAATGGGCTATGTACTGGGGTCTTATTAAATACAGTCTTTTGATGCATCAAATAAAAAAAGAAGTTATAGCTGAAGTTGGCCCATAAGGACAACAGGAGAGGCTTGGAAGATGCTTGATGGTTCATCCATTTAGCAGAGTGTGTGGTCCGGTTTTGTCAGACTTGATATAATGCTCTTATAGACAGGATGGATAAAAATCAATGATTTTTTTAAAAAAATAAAAAAAAAATAAAAAAAAAATCTGATATTTAAATTTAAATCGGATTTTTTTTAAATAAAATGCTTTTTGAGGAAAATATATTACCATCCAAAGGTTATTCCATCATGAAATAAAGATTAGTTTTTTAATTATGTAGAATAAGGCTGTATATGTTTAATTTTTTTGGTAAATAAATTCCATGAATCCATTCACAATGTCATGCTCTTCCAGAGGTTTTTGTAAGATTATTGGGCAGTTTCTCTGCCTACAAGATATTATCACAGATGTTCAGTTTACTTTTGCAGTTCTCAAAACTGAATTTGACTCAGCGGAGATCACATGCCTCTTCTTCACAGCAAAAATGTTATAACATGAACAGAGTTAAGAAAAAGACCTTCATCCTAACTTCTACAAACCTATGAATACAGAATCAACCCCTTCAGTGCTAAGTTTCAAGAAGTTCAGTGAATAGAATAGAAAATATTTTTCTGATTGTTTGGAGTGGAATAGATCTGCACAAGAAGAAAGTGAAACTAAGTGTGAGGAGGAAGGGGCTGACAGTCTACGTTTCTTAAAATATATATATTTTGTTTAGCCAAATTAGTTACAAACATGGATGTTTAAGCAAATCACATATGCTGGAATGTTATTGTTTCAGATGAATAAATCTATTTAAATTGTTATTAAGGTAATGATTATTTTTCTCCTTCCTAAGTACTACAGAAAAGTTGTCCAAATATGAATGATTAACCTATTAAACTGGGGATAAAAAAACTAATCTGAAAAGTTGTTATTCTAAAAATCTTCATCTACTTGCATATTAAAGTTATACCAGCAAGAATTAGTCTTTATGTAGAAAACTAGGATTTAAATCAAGCCTTACTGACTAGTGATTTAAATCGTGATTTAAATCGTGATTTAAATCAGTTTGATTTAAATCAAATCCACCCTGCTTATAGATACAAAAGCCACCATAGGAATACAAACATTATCTGGTTATCCTGATATCACAAAATGACAAAAAGTCATGATATCTATCGGAAAACAG